ATAATAGCAGAGAGAGTCAAAGACCTCAGCCTTCTGGATCTCAACCGCATATTTTAGAAAAATAACCCCAGCCTTCTGGTTACAACAGGAAAAGTTATTTTTTGAGGTGCCGCCAATGTTTAAAAAATGGTAAGGGAGGACAAACATCATGGCGATGTTCGGCATGTGATGATAAACCACCGCTGTGTTGGTGCCTGTTTTGCCATTTTTCGTTCTTAGTTGTGATTTTCCATAAATTTTTGCACGGAACAGTGAATTTATTATTATTTTTTAGCTAAACCTCATTCAAATTTTGTAAAACAATATGTATCTGTTTTGTGAATACAGTTTACGTGCAAGTAAGTGGTTGTTTCTTTATTTACAAGTTATTTTTGTTACTACGCGTCTGTAATAGCAGTTGTGTTATAGCAGACGCCCGTTTTTTTGTAAAAAAAATGGAACCTCGCTCTTCTGCACGTTGTATAGTATTTTCTGATCCCAATGAAACGATTTCGCAAAAAAAAGTAGGTGATGTTCTGAGTAGAATAAATCTGATTGAGGTGCCCGCGAATGTGTTAACAACTGACGAAATCTTTGCTTAAAAATGACAAAACAGTTTTCAATTTTCACTCTTTATAGTTGTAATTTGTTGAGCTGCAGTAAGATTCCCATATTCACGATATGGTGGTAATAACCACTTTCTTAAGGGATATGCAGCATCTCCCAATATGTGATAGCGATCTGCACATATCGCTGGTAACTGTTTACTAATAAAGGACATTTTGAAGATTTCTAGCGTCGTGGATTTTCCTAGGTGTACCAGTAAAAATATCGGTGAACATTCTATTAGCATTGCATGTTGCCTGTACTGTAATGGAAGGTGAATCGTGGCCAGGGGCGGATGGGCAACTAAAATCATACCGGGAAACTGACTGATGGCACGCCAGCGATCAGCAAATTATGGTTTTTTTTTTGGTGAATGGTGTGTTTATTAAAAAATATGTATGATAATGAAAAAAATCATAAAATTAAGTTTCTTACAGAACATAAACATTATTATAATAAAACAGTAGGTAAGGTAACCCAAAACATTAGTATTCTTACAGATTATTAGAGAACATAAATATTATAATTTATAATATAAAAATCATTAATACAATAATGCACCCTTTATTAGTTTGGTAGTTTGACCTAAACGATTGATTACGTCTTCATTGTCGATATCGTTCAAAATTTCCTTCTCGATGTTCATCAGCATGAATGACTCAAGTCTATTATCAGACACAGTGTTCCTTAACCTATTCTTAATACATTTTAGCGTCGAAAAAGAACGCTCTCAAGCTACCTGCGAAATGGGTAATGAAAGTATATTTGAAAGTATATATTGATAAGCCAGTGCCAGTGTAGAATAGGCTCCCTTAAACAAGTTATATTTTAAAATTGCACAATAGCAGCATATAACGCAGTTCTGGCATTTTTTGGTTTCAGTGCATGTATTTGACTTTGATCCATCTTCCTCGGCCTCGGCATATCTTGTTTCTAAACCATCGTCATCGTCTGAATCTACTTCAACATCACCGTAATGCACTTTGTAAGAATCTTCAATTGACTGCTTAATAAACTTCCAGTTGCTCGCAAAACTTGTTAACTCTTCTTTCAATTTCGCAGGAGTTGCGGAAGCATCAAATCTTATCAATTTTTCTGACAATACTTTCAGAGAGTTCTCAGGGAGCTCACATTTGGTGATTTCGTTAAAATTATTCGGGTCCAGAATATTCATATCCCTGCATAATTCAGCGTTTTTTGCGAACCTTCTGTTAATTGATTATACCGCAGTGTCCATAATGACGTTGAAGAAGCCTACTCTAAATTTATCTTTCTGACTTTCTGGGACTTCATCAGAGGCTGTCTCATCAAAGAATGTTTTCTTTTTTTGTGAACGAGTTTCAGGCAATTGCTGTTCAATGACAAAATCGAATTCTCTTCTTTCAAAAGTTAAATTAACCCATTCTACGAATTTATCTGCAGAGACTTCAACTTCCGCCATGTTTCTTTGCATTTTTTTTTAAATTCAGTATGGTAGCGTCCACCATAGAGTTACATTTTAACAAATGAAGTCCTGTTGTCTGCACATACTTTGATAGAGGGCCGGTAATAGAGAACAGTTTTAGGAAAATCTGCGCAACTAGGACATTTTCATATTTTAGTAATTGTTCCTTATAATTGGCAGCTTTCGCTCTTGCGTCCGGTTTGATTGTTGGTGTATTTGCAATCGTATTAAGAACATCGATTATATCAACATACAAAGCTTGGTCGGGTTTATTCAAATTACCAAAAAGTTTACTAAGCGCTGCTTCCTTAGCCCACCAACGAGTTTCTCCAATTAACTGAAGTTTCTTCGCCCTAGGATTGTTGTCAATGTCCAACCAGTAACCCATCCGTTGATGTGATTCCTTGAAAAACACGGCGATGCAATTTAGTAATGAAAAAAACGATGTTGCCTTGATGTGAGATTTGAAAATGTCTGTTAGAACAAGATTTAAAATATGCGCATAGCACCAAATATGCACATGACTTGAATTCTCCTGAACCATGAAAGCCGAGAATCCTGAATAACTTCCTTGCATATTGGCCGCTCCGTCAGTAGAATCAGCAATACAATTGTTCTTATCTAGTCCATTTTTTTCCAACACGTCACTAATCGTAGTATAAAATCCCTGCCCTGTGCTATCGTGGCAAGGAACTACTGCAAGAAGGCGTTCGTGGATTGTTCCTTCGTAAACATATCTAAAATAAGAGTGAATTAAAAAACAGCAACATATTAGGTATTGGGATAATATGATATACCTTATTACTACCGAACATTGGTCAGTAACGGAAATATCTTGGGTACTGTCTATCTCTATGGAGAACATTACCGCAGCCTTTATTTCTGAAGAAATCTTTTCCTGTATTATTTGAGTTATGGTAATAAGTGAATTTACGGTTGTTTTGGACAACAATGTGTAAAAATTTCCAGGGCGACGTTTGATTTGCCTCTCATAATACGTTTGCTTCTTGCAATTATGTTATCCAAGTGATGCTTCAAGATAGTATCGAATTTGGCCAAAAGAAGAATGATTTCCAGAAAAGTCCCGTGATCAACATTTACATTATCCAGATTGTATGCAGCTTCATTTGCTGTACCACGATAGGAAAGCCCTCGTTTGCCAATTAGTTTTATAACGTCGATAACAATATCCAAAACATGCCGATTTTTGGCTTTTTTGTTTCTTAATTCAGCAACGTTCCCAAAAAGCGACGTGTCAATTCTTTGATTTTTGGTGTACATGAAATGCGTATCACAGTTTCTACCATGACTGATTGCGCTTTCGTGCTCATCTATGCGCTGATACACATGCTTTCAATCAGACATACCTTTTGCAAAAGCCGAACTCTGATCCTTATCATACGCCAGACAGACAGTGCAAAAAAGTGCTTTTCTCACTTCACTGTAACTTGGCCATATTCTCTTTTTATTTTTCCGCACGAACGCTTTTTCCGGGTTGAACGGTAGATCATTTTGTGCGGCAGGTACCTTTGGATGATATTTAAAAAATAGTGTAAGTTTATTGGGATCAGGACGCTCAAAGAAACCGCCAGCAGGCTCCGGCTCTCCCGACAGGTCTAATACTGGTGCAGATGCCTGAGATGGCAATGGCACTGGTCTCACCTTCAGCGGCGACTTGTTGTCGTCATCTTTTCCACTTCCACATTTTCATCTACGTATTCTACGTCATCGTCTGAGTCCTCTAACTGCATTTGTGACGGTTGGGTTTGAAGTTGAACCGCTAAGTCTTCTGGTGACTGATTTTGTTGAGGTTCAGGTTTATCTAACTTTTTCTGGCTTTCAGCTCCATTGCTTCCCATTCCTGAAGTTGACGGAACAGAAAAGTGTCCGAACATCACATCTAAAGACTGACATTTTCTGGATATTTCACTTCTTTTTTTCGTTTCACTTTCCAGTTTTCTTTCTTGCCCTCCTTTTCGTTTTTGTGGCATAATTTTGCAGTAGGTATATTATTCGCGTTTTTACTTCGCTACTTTTAGTTTTCACGTTCACCCCAAAGAATTTGAATGATTTCACAGGTTAGCTAGCCTTGATGACCTGTTGGCAATGGCAATAATTAATATGTGTTCTTTAAGACTTTAAGGACAGGTACACAGTACAATCAAAAACCAAAAAATACATTAAATGAAATAAATACCTAATATCGTAATAATAATTAAGATCTTTAACATTATTAATACGTACCTACCCAACAATTGATTAAATTTGTTGGGAAGCAGCAATCCCACTCACACCCCGTCGCGGCGTCGCCAGTCAGAATCTCTTAAAACAATGACTAATCGTAATCACGCACAACTCACAAGTACATACTGGCTACTTTCAGGAACAGTGCAACTTGAACTAGCCAAACAAGCGTTTCCGTGAAATAGAGCAGTGAGCAGACGCAATCGCCAGTCATCGTACGGATACGGTACAAGTTACGACCGTCACCGTACCACACCTCGCGCTGAGAATCACAGTTCAGTCGACCGAGACTCAGTCACGTTATGTGACCTAAATCGAGAAAAATCTTCCGTACTTTATTTACTTATTTTCTATGTCTCTTCCAATCTTGAACAACTAAGTATACAAATACAACTATACATTTATAACAGTTGGTTACGACGGGCCATTTCCCGGTGGGCCCATCCGCCCCTGATCGTGGCGATTTACATATGTAGATTTAATTTTTCCTGCAGGCGTTCTAATGGGGATATATGACCCATCAATGCAACCTAGTGCCACGGGCTAAACACACAAATAAACCCTTGGTATAAGTTATCAGTCTTCTGGCGAAGGGAAAATAAAATCGTTGCCGGCTGCTATGCAGAGAGGGGAGGTTCGTGGGTATTTAAGGGCGCCAGAAGCGGAAAACGCAACGATATGTGGCAGATTCTGTTCCTGCTTCAGAGAACAGGGTGTAGTCGATGAAGCCGGAGACGGTACTAAACTCAGGGGAGGTAGACACACACACATAAAATAGCACAAAATTCTAGGAGGTAAATCAAGATTTATTTAGATTAATCAGTCGGATAATTGTTAGGATTTTAGGCTGCGCAAGAAAGATTAAACACAAATCAATAGGTACAGTTCAAAAGAAAAAAAAATTAAATTAAATTAGCCACCACAAGAACAGTGTACTCGCTCGGGGCGTTAAGGCGAGTTAAATGACGTTTGCCAAGGCCAGGGTTATTGATAGCGCTACCGGGATAACTCCTCAACCACACTTACCTTACCTAGGTATACTACTGTAAATATATAATGTCTTGTGATATGCTTTACAACCAAAATTAAAATGTATACATACTGACTGGTAAGTATTTCAAACGTTAAAAATAAATTACTTGAATGCCGCCAAAATTTGACTGAACCATAACCTCCAATTAAAACATAACCTCAAATTATACAAGTTTAAATACTGTCATAAAAAAACACAAAAAAAACAACACAGCAGGTTCAGGGGAACTAAGGAAAGAAACGGAATGAAGGATAGCTTAGAAAGAGGTAAGTAGGATAAGATTAAGATCAGAATATGCTCGGTGAATGCCCTGTTCTTTATTTCAGTACTGAACGATAATGTTGGACAGCACACACACGACAGCTGACCTTTGGATTAGCTGAAGATGTAGGGGACTTGCCAGCGCAGTAGTCCGGAATAAGAGTGCGGTGAACGGCAAAGGTGACGATGGTTATCCGCCACTCGGATGGTATGAAAGGGAATCCTCCAACACAGATGTAAGTACGGTATGTAATTGCCTCGACGGTGCGTGTGATCTTGATCTTACAGACGACGACAAAAATAAGGTCCTTAACGGGACAACAATGCTCGAAGGCACAATCAGATAGAGATAAAAGCTAAAATAAGGATAATTTGAATACTGTTACACTATAGAAAACATACCTCTACGATGTTAGGCGAGCTTTAAGTGAATGTGTTTGTTGATCCGCAATAGCGTAGAAAATTAAATACCAAAAATACGGTACGTACTTAAATATTTCTTTACACCAAATCCCTCGAAATCCTTCTACAGAAACTGGTAATATCGCAGTAAAATGAAGAATTGGTGGAAACACATGTATGTCGACAAAATGTCTTCAAGGAAGTGCAGAGTACAATTGATAAGAGCAACGTGAAAGGAAAAGTGATAATAGTTATCAGTAACAGGAAATAGTAATACAGAAAGGTGAAAGTTACTAAATTTGAATTTGAATTTTAGGTAAACAAGAATGAAGAGTAGAATAAAGTATAGCAGAGTAAAGTTAAGAGTTTTAAGATTAATTAGAATTCGTGGGTAGTACGAAAAATCCGTTACACTAGTACATTTGGAATACCCGCAAATTCAAAATATTTCCTTCCACTGTCTGTTGCATTATTATTGTCTACAAATTTCTTATATTTCTTTCTAGCACCCTCCATCGATTTAGACAGTTATTCGGAGTCACCGGAATACCGTGCTTATTAAATTCATCCGCTATGATTTGCCACAATTATTTTGCATTTTTTACTTGCATGGTCCCAAGTTTCTTGCTATACTTTTCATATAAATCTATTAACATTTTCGTTTGATCTGCACCATTTGAAATCCTGTTGCGTTGTCCTACTATTAGATTCTTGCGATAGTTCTGGACCAATGGGTGCAAGCACAATTATATATTCTTGGAGAGCTAAAATTAAACATATTTAATTAATAATTAAATATTAATATATTTATACGTCGTTGGAAAGCTCTGAAAAAATGCTTTCCAACCATACCAAATAGCATTACATTTAGGTTAGTAATTGTCGTGCAAATCAAAAAATAAACATGGAAAATCGTATTTAACTTGAACTTCCAAAGCCGACTCGACAGCAACTCATTTTTGATCTCCAGTTATAATCTATTCTCAAACTCTTGTCGAACCTTTCCTATGTTGGTTTTGCAATATTTCGACATTCTTGAATTATTCTCTGTCTTAGTTCGTCTAATGTTCGCCGGTTGCGTTTTAAATACGACAGATTTCAAATGTATCATATTAGTTTATTTTTTGATTTGCACGATAATTACTAACCTAAATGTAATGCTATCTATTTGGTATGGCTGGAAAGCATTTTTTCAGAGCTTTCCAACGACGTATCACACATGGGGGGTCACTATTTAAGATTTAAAAGTTGGGGTGGCTGGGGCGCAGGGGGTTGGAGGGGGTGCGTCGCCAACTATGTCATTGTGATTCCCCCTCCGAATTAGCGAAACGGATTTTGATTTTTTTTAATATCTCGTTTATTTACTAACATATGGGGGGTGGTAAGTTTTCAAATTGTCACCCTGTATATAGGATTTGAAGAGTTCACAACATCCCGAAAACAACACTAGTTGATCAGAGGGCGTCGTGGAAAAAAATCGTCTTCATACGGTCGCGCTACAGCAATTCCTCTGGAAGAAGAAAGTTGGCCGACGGGTTATGTTACATGGAACGCCAAGGGTTCGGCTTATCAAGAAAAGAAATTCTGCTTATTCTTGGTGAATACGTCAAGTCAAATAACGTCACGACCCCATTCAAAGATGGAATTCCATCAGAAGATTGGTTTCTAGGGTTTAAGGAACGTAACAAATTATCAATAAAAAAGCCACAAAGTGTGGAATTTGCAAGAAACACAATAAATGATCCTTTTGTGATTATGGGTTATTTTTCACGGTTGAAAGAAACGATTGCAGATCTTAATTTAATGGACAAGCCAGAGTAAATAGGGAACCTTGACGAAACGTCATTTTGCACTGACCCATCAAAAACCAAGGTAGTGGGAAAGAGAGGTGAGGCATCCACGAGAACAACTAGCTCTCCAGGCAGGGAAAATATTAACAGGTAGGAAAATATATTTGGGACCGATGGACCGCGCCGGTGGCTACTGGTTACCCCAGTAGGTCATATGCAGCAACAGATAATGGATGGATGCAGACTGATGTCTTCACAAATTATTTTAAAACATCTTTTCTGAAGGCAGTGGGAAACGAGAGGCCTCAGATTCTCATATTTGATGGGCATAGCACTCATCTGAGCCTAAATCTGTTAGAGACAGCAAGAAGTGAGGGTATACATATCATCAAGTTGCCTCCTCATTCTAGCCACCTTCTTCAACCGCTCGATCTCAGCGTGTTTAAAGGCCTGAAGAACTTCTGGGATGAAGTTCTAGTTAAGTGGCAGCGTAAGAATATTGGCAAGAAGCTTCCAAAGAGTATTTTCTCCAAAATAGTTGGAGAACTATGGTTAAACACGAATCCAGAGATAATAACGAATAGATTTACAAAAGCAGGGGTGGTACCATTCAACGATGAAGTTATCCCCAAAGAACAGTTTCACCATGCAATTTGGAAGAAGTGGGAAGAAGCAGAACGGTTAAAGATTACACTGAAAAAATTCTAGTACGTATTTTTGATTAATACGTTTCATTAGGTAAAATTTAATTGTTGGTATTAAAAGTTTGTTGAATATATGAAAACGTACATAGCTCATAAATAAATATGATTTGTAAAATTGTTAATATTATGAATGCGTTTTTATTAAAATAAATTCATAGATCAATATAATTTATTTATGAATATAGTAACCGGTACATTGGCTCTAACAATTAAATTTATTAACGTTTGAAAAAGAAACATTGATTTTAAGAGAAATTCCATTATTTAATGACCCTTAATTCGTTATTTAATTAATTTCCTCCAATTAATTCTTTGGTCCATAATAATGTTAGTAAACCAATTAAATGGATAATCTATTTGATAAAATATTTAATGCTCCTATAAACGCTTTCAATATTTTGACACAAAAAGTTAATTGTTCCTTAACATATTACGTTGTGTCAACAAACGTTTCATTAATGTAGTGAAAAATTCCAAGAAAAAAATTGTAGCGGGAACCGACCGTGACCGAGTCGTCTTCCCTGACACACCGGCCCGTTCCGATTCTATGAGGATGAGGATGAGATGTATTTATTTGTATAAAGAACAGTGCAGAAAATAATTCCCGGTTGTTAATTATTTGTGTTTTGACATTTTTGTGTAAGGTTGTGAGTAAATATTCACTATTCGCCTGCAGCAGGTGTTCTCTTGGTTATGTGAGGATCACGGAAAAAGCGATAAGTACCTATCAAAGAATTAAGTTTAAGTAAGTACCCACTTATATAGGTATTTGTATTACGTAAACATGCTTTGTTACATTTGCAAGAATAATTTTCAAACATTAAAGCTACTCATTCGGCATTTTAAGGAAATTCATTTCTTGCAAGTATACGACACTTACAGGTGTTGTGAGCGCGGTTGTGAGCAGAGTTTTTCATGCTTAGAAGTGTTTAAGAAACATGTTAACCGTAAACATGAAAAGGTCTGTTCACAACCAGCTCCTGCAAATGTAATTGAAGTTCTTCCTGCTCCTGCATCTGCACCTGGTGTGCAATTGCAAATAAGTACATATGAAGGTGACATGAGTGACGTGTCTCACACACGTTACAATGAAGATATTTCGCCGAATGTACCAGAAAAGTTTGATGTTGAACATTCAGTTAGTACAATGTGCGCATTCGTTAGGGAGTTCGTCCTTCGATTACACAATAATAATAATTTTTCACGTAAAGATGTCATAAATATTCAAGAAAGTACAAAAGAGTTGCTTATTGAACCTCTTATGAATATTTTTATTACCTTTGCAAATGATAAGCTGCAATCAAATACTGCGGTTTATAATGATTTCCGTACTCTGATTTCTAACTTCAGGGATCCGTTTAAGGATTATAATAGCGATTATGTACTTTACAAAACCCTTAGAGTTCAGGGTTATTTAGAAAATGTGCAGGAATTTATTATTGATGAACAGACACGCGCTGTGCATCGTCTTGGAAGTCTAACTTATGACGATAAAAAAAGTTTCAGGAATAGTCATGCCACTAAAATTTCAATTCAAACAGTTCTTTGAATTAAACTGCCATATTACTCGAGTATTAAGAGAAATGGACAACTTAAGTCGTAGTTCGAAGTTTACTAATTTTATTCAGGGCGAATTATGGAAACAGAAGAAAAAGTTGTACCCTGATAAAACGCTTATCCCATATTTTCTGTACCTTGATGATTTTGAGATTAACAATCCGTTAGGGTCTCATGGCAATGTTCACTCTGTTTGCAACATTTATTACTCATTTCCCTTCCTGCCAGTTCAACAGTCCAAATTAGAAAACGTGCATTTTGGGGGTTGTGTTAAATCCATTGATGTAAAGAAATATGGAAACGAAAAATGCTTTGAATATGTTGTTAATGAACTTCGATTGTTAGAAATTGAAGGGATAGAATTAAAATATGACGGCAATGCTACAATACGGGTTTATTTTATTTTAGGACTAATTCTTGGTGACAATCTAGGATTAAATTCTTTCCTTGGATTTAGTAAGTCATTTTCGGCAAACACATTTTGTAGATTATGTCGGGCCTGTAAAGCTGAAACACAAACAGCAATTGCCGAAGACGAACAACTTCTACGTACTATTGAAAACTATAATGCCGATTTAGACACCAATAATTTCCAGGAAACTGGTATTCATCATGAAGCCGTTGCTAATAAAATACCGTCTTTTCATGTAACGCAAAATTATTATGCAGATGTGATGCATGATTTTTTTGAGGGAATTTGTCATTATGACTTATGTCATGCCATTAAGTATTTTGTCACAACTGTGAAATTCTTCGATTTAGAGACGTTAAATTTTCGAAAGTCGACATTTCAATATGGACCTACAGATATCGATTATATATCAGGTGAAATTAAAAGTTTACATTTGGAAAAGAAAAAGCTGAACATGTCAGCTCGTGAAATGATGACTTTTATTATGTACAATAAAGACTTCATCCAATTATTTAATGATACACTCAAGCCCAAATTCCATAACCTTGTCCATTATCCTAGAATAATACGACAATCAGGTCCGCTTCGGAATATTTGGTGTTTTAAGTATGAAGCTAAGCATAAGCCGTTTAAAATTTATACACATTGCATTACATCAAGGAAAAATGTGTGTGTTACATTAGCAAAGAAATTTCAATTAAAATTCGCATACCAGTTGGCCCAGCATAGTAAGGAAAACAGTGACTTTTTAAAAACTAATGAAAAGGACAAAGTGGTTGAGGAGAATTACCGAAATATTCTTTACAAGTATCCAAATTTAAACAACAATGAGAGCCTGAAGTGTTACACGCGTGTTTCTTACAACAGTGTGAACTATAAATCAGGGGATTACATAGCCAGATTTATTAAAGGTGACATAGAATTGCACAAAATATTTGAAATCCTTATTGACACATCCCACAACCTATTTTTTTTAACTCGAAAATTAAAACATATTCAATATGATGATCATTTTGTCTCTTTCGAGGTTGATCCTATTCCCTTATCAGACTTTGTTATTGTTTCGTCAAATGAGTTGTTGGGCCCACCGGTTCATTTAGTAAATACTTCTAAAGGTATGTTTATTCGGTCTAAGGAATATTATCATGCTCTTTAATCTCAATGCATGAACCCTTATGTTTGCCGAAATTCCACTCAATTGTTATACATATACAGGATGAGTCAACGTAAACTTTCATACCTCGTAACTTTTTTATTTGCAGATTTTTTTTTATTTGATATACTTATTAAATTTTATTTTTTTAATAAAAAGGTGTACTTTATGTAGACATGCGAGGGCATAGGTATACAGAGTGTTCGGAAAATGCCGCACCATTTGTCTGCCACGAGACAAAAAGTTATCTTTAGGGACCGGAAAAAATGTTTATAAAAATCTTTGCTGCCAACTTGATGAGGTGTTCCCTACACCTCATCAAGTTGGCTTTTTAAGAAAAATTATTTTTACAATTTACATTTGAAATTCGATTCCACACGATTCCACATAAAGAGAAGCAGCTGTTCTTATTTTTAATTGAGAAAAATGTTCACAATTTGTTAACAATTTTGGCGAAAAATTAAAATTAAAGAATATAATTTGGAAAAAAAAATTTAACAGAATATTCCCGGTTCCTATAGATGCATTTTAGTCATCTCGTGGCTGGTAGATGGTGCGAAAATTTTTCGAACATTCTGTACTTATAAGAAGCATATTTTTCATTTTTCTATCAAGGAATTTAAAAAGCTCAAGTAGAAATTTTTTTTAACCTTTACTGGTGCTTGTTGAAATTTGAGAAACTAAAATACCCTCGAAAATACTATTAAGTATTTTACATTTTCGAAAACAGTTAGTTTTTTTATAGAAAATATTGACAAACAAAGGTATTTTTAAGGTAAATACTCACACTAAGAACCTTGACTTCTCCGTAAATCCTAACTTAAATTAAAAATAATTTTCAAGGAACTGGTGATACTTATTTTGATTTCTTGGATTCTCTACAAGAACGATACCTATCTAGATGTCAAAAGTTTGAAAATGATTTTTCTTTACGTTTTCATACGTTTTTCTTTTTTTTATTTTTCATCGATTTACAGTTGCCCAGAAGTTTATTTGGTACAACAATTAACAATCAAAGTTCTAGGCAAATGAAAATCGTAGGTAAAATTGCACGATTGATCATATACTGTTTCAAAATTTATGAAAGAAGCTAGTTCTCCTACTTTTAAATTTCTGTTTTACGTCGTTATTTACCAATTTTTTTCCTTTGTTTTGTTTATATCTAATATTTGTCAATTAATTTGAAAGATAACTAGATAAAGTGCACTGTTATATAATTTTTATGTATTTTATTCTAAATCATTTTGTATAAGTATCGTTTAAATTCAGTGCTTATATTTTTTCTTATTTAATTTTGTATGCACTAGGCAAGTGCATACAAAATGAAATTAAAAAAATTAAATGAGGCACATTTCTGTTTAAAAAAAATCTATCTACCATAATAATAATTTTTATTAGTTATGTAATTTGAGTCTTTTATTGCTCAACAATACTTTAAAATATGCAACCAAGAAATGTTTTGTTTATCAGCTTATAACATGGCTTCAAGAAATTACATTTTTGCTGTTGAAGATGCTAGCAATAAGGCGGGGCCCCTCCCAGCTAGTGATATGCTGCATAGGGCATTAAATAGCCTGCAAGATTATAATGTAAATCAAGCATTAAGTAACCTTGAAGTTGAATTTCAAAATAATGACTACCAGCCTCCTTTTAATGAAGTTCCAATAATTAACAATAATGGAAACTCTGATGTAACGGCGACCGGGGTTGCCGTCGAGGTTGTCTTTAACCGGCCGGAAGAAGAGGAATTGCACCAACTTTTAAAACGCTTTAACCAATCAGAACTTTTCGAAGTACTAGTGGGTAAGTATTGCTTTTTTACAAAGATAATAAAATTGTTAAAAAAATTTGCTTCTAGCCCAAGGAGTCTTCGTGAACGTACTGAAAGTCATCAAGCCTCATCATATAGGAAAACTATTAGAAAACTTCAGTTTAGGTACTCAGGTAATTTTTGAACACAACATAGACATGTGGCGAAATGCAATGGACTTGGGTTCGTCACAATTGGATAATAACCAAAACAATAATGATTCATTAAAACGCGTCAATTTGTTGAGTACTTCATCGTACCCAAATTCTCCCTCATCAAGCACGGTCGAAAGCTGCCCAGAATCTCCATCAGACGCTTATACCTCTCTTGCAACCATCCTGAAAGACTCATGTAATGGCATAGCCATATGCGACTATTATAAAAGGCATACAAAATTTAATGAGGAACAGAGATCTGCTTTAATCAACTTAATAGCCAACTTTTATGAGAGGAACGATAAACACCTATCTTTAAAAACAAGTCATCAGTTGGAGACAGAAATATTAACAATCTTTCCAACAGAGAAATTGGTAAGTTATTATTGTACAACAACTGTAGGTTGTAATATCTTTTTATCTAGGAGTACTACAGAACATCCAACCGGGGGAAACTTTATAACAGAGCATCCAACACTAAGAAAGTTTTCAAGTCAAAATTTTCTACCCATCAAAGTGCAATCCCTGCAAAAAAATCGAAGACAAGCGGTTCAAACATGTGTACTAAAGAATTTGGTAAGCCCAGACAAACTTGTTTGAAAAAAAATCACGAAAATTTGCAGTACCAGAAGAGGCTGCGGAAAATTGCTATAATTCTTTAAAATTTGATAACTTATCGAGCGAAGAATTTGATAATGTCTGGAAAGCCTGTGCTAATTTTCGGATTAACGAATTAAAAAAATTAGAGTCTACGTCAGCGATCCTTGAGAGGTGGCCATATTATAAACGTCCGTCTGGTTATCGTTTGGTAAGAGAAAAATACTTGGGCGAGATTTAAAGGAACATACGTAAGTACATAATTTGATTTGCAGATCGATATGGATTTTCGTCTCATGTTCGATAGTGGGAATTTATTCTTGGATAAATGGGAGGAGGACGTAAACAAACTACTGACAATCTTGAAGAGAGAAGTAAAAGATAAATATGTAAAAGGGGTAATAAGTCTACTCAAAAATGACGCTGTACCTGAAAGTAAGTTTTTTATTTAAATTAAGATATTTTCCAATCACAAACGATCCTTTCACAGAATGTCGAGATGCAGTGATACTGTGGTCACTACATGCTTATTTGTGCCCGACAAAAAAAGTCGTCAAGAAAGATATCAACGGTAAGAAAAATACAATTAAATTCACTATCAAGGACTCCCAAGATTCATTCGTGTTCGTGGGAAAATCACACCAAGAATTGGAAGATCATCTATTGCACCTCAAGCAATTGAAAAACAACATTCAGCCGTTCATTTTGGTTGTCGGAGAAAATATAAATAACTTTAAGGAAATGTATGTCTACTTTGATGACTTAAGATATACCTTTACAAGTTTTTTACGAGCAGTCGACATATGCTTCAAAATTTTTTTTGTATTTAACCTTGATTTTCCAGTGGAGTGTTCCACTTTTTGGTCATTTGTCGGCCATTACTTTTATGAAATAGAATCTGTGAATTGTACAAGCAAAATACATGTTTTAAGCGAAGAAATGAGGACGGTAAAGTCAGGAGAATAATTTTGTATTTAAAATTAGGAGCGAGTTCATGAAAGTATAGGAAATAAGCATCTTAAAATTTCTATGTAGTTCTTAAATAAACTATGGTTTCTTTCGTTCAATTGTTTTTCTTAAGCCCGTGTCACATTATCAAAAAGTTGGACAAATTAAACTGACAAATTGAAATAATGACGTCATTCTCCTATTTTTTCCGATCAGTGCCAATATCTTGTGTCACACTATACAACAAATTTGACCAAAATGTGGTGGTACAGTGAAGCTCATTCGTAGGGTTATTTGTAATTGAAGGTTGTTTTTGTTAGGGACCCTATATTTGATTACTGTAAAATTAAAGTATGAATGCAAATCGGAACAAAATTGTGGCGGTTTTATCTTTGTTGGGATTGGCATTGGTCACCTATCAACGAACAATAAAGAAAAAACCTAAAAAGAGAGAAATTTGGGCGAAACCTTGGCTATTAAAACGGAACGAGAATCATGGTCGGGGTGTATTAGCTATGGTTAAAAATGAATTAAGGAGTAGTAGTTTGAACGATTATCAAAATTTCCTCCGAATGGACCAACATTCATTTATCAAATTACTTAAATTACTTACACGAACTATAAGCAAACAAGATACTGTCTTACGACAATCTATTAGTGCAGAAGACAGGTAATTTCAACTGAAAACCCTATAGAAATGTTAAGTGCAAGTTTTAGATTAATGGTTACGTTAAGATATTTAGCTACTGGCGAAACGTTAAAAAGTTTAAGTTTTTCAACCCGAATTGCACATAACACATTAAGTGGAATTATTAATGAAGTCTTAAATGCAATTGTTACACATTTAGACGATTATCTCAAGGTATGTAATTACAAATAAGGTAAAAATAGATACAAAATTATGTATATACAAATTAATTTTCTTCTTCATCTTGTTGTTGATACTTGTGTAGTACATTAATTATGTGACGCTTGCAAGCCTGTTTTATTCTATTACTCTTGATTGTTTGAATTTCATCAGCAAGGAATGTTGCAAATGTTTGCCATGTATTATTTGGAACAACTGGCTCGGAAATTTTGTTTAATGCTGTTGTTATTTCTTGAAATAATGGAATGGCAGCATCGTCAATCATTCGTTTTTTATTATTTTTGTTAATTGGTTGGTTGCTTGCCCTTTTTGTGCGTGGTGTTTCTGTGATGGTTTCATCTAAATCTGCATTTTCAGAAGAACCATTACTCATGCTCTCGCTTTCATATAAGGTGTGTTCCTGAAATTATTAAGCACATTACTTTATTACAGCCTCCTCATACAATGGAAGAATGGAAAGAAATCTCAAATAAATATTACGAGCTATGGAACTTTCCGAACTGTGTAGGTGCAATGGACGGAAAGCATATCACATTCCGTCCACTAAGGGCAGATGGTTCTTTCTACAGGAACTACAAAGGTTCTGACAGTATTGTGTTATTTGCAGTGGTTGATGCAAACTATAAATTTTTAATAGTGGATATTGGACGAAATGGCAGAATAAGTGATGGTGGAGTATTTCAACGAAGTTCTTTATCATATGCAATTAATGAGAAAATTTTACAATTACCTATGCCAGTTTGTCTACCTGGGAGAGAAAAAGTTGTGCCGTATGTATTTGTAGCAGATGATGCTTTTCCATTAAAGGAAAACATTATGAAACCGTACAAATTTCATGGCTTAAGCAATCAGCAACGAGTGTACAATTATAGACTCTCTCGTGCAAGGCGGGTCGTAGAGAACGCATTTGGGATACTTAGTAATCGTTTTCGCATTTTGTTACAAACAATGAATGTTAGTGTAGAAAAAGTGGAATTGATTACGAAAGCTTGTTGCTTTCTACACAATTATTTAATTTCGACATCCCCAAAATATACTTCCAATTTGGAAGAGGAAGACATTAGTTGCGACTTCTTGCCCTTGCCACAGCAAGGAGGTAACAGAAGTGCAAAAAGTGCACAACAAATTCGAATAGAATTTCAGGAGTACTTCAATACCTCAGGAGTCGTGTCATGGCAACAACAATCTATCAATAATTATAGAATGTAACTTGATAATAATAAAAACTTAAGTTTATAGCGTTGAGTGAAAAGTAATAAGAGGTAAGGGTTAACCGAGGTGTTTCAAAGCGTATGTGATTAGTAGGTACACAAACAACTTCCAATCACATACACGCTGAAGCATCTCAGCTGTGAACTTGGTGCCTTTTGACAAATATGCTGCGCTCATTAGTTTTAATTCAACGTTTATAGCAATGCTATTTAATTTGCAATAATTACTTACACCCTGACTGTCCGTGATTTCAACAACTTCGTCCCACGTGCTACAACCGGCAGCACGGGATAAATTAGAAAAACTTGTCCGAGCATTGACATGGTCTTGTAAGAACAGTAACTGCTCAAAGCACCATAGACCAACCTGTACCAGTTCTGCGCCAGATCCACTTGGCTTACTCTTAAGCTTTCCAAGTTCTTTATTAAATTGTGTCCTTAAAGAGTTAATTTTTACTTTAACGTCGTTAACTGAAAGCAGTATCATTTAGCAAGTTGTAAATAATAAAACATATTCACCAGTACTGCCCTACTAAGCACAAAGGGGGTAACTGCAATTTTTGGGGAAATTGAGAAATCGATGCCAAGTGACTCCTTGCGGTTTAATGTGCCTAATACTAAGGTATTATAGTTGTATCTTCGCCTGAATATTAACAAACATGCGTATTTCGTTAGCCGTAACTACCTTTTTTGCTTGAATTACTAAAGGCTTTGGGAGTAAGTACAGATTACTAGACAACTGCAGCCGTAACTACTGCAGATAAGGCGTTTTGCCTTAGCAAACGTCACATACTACATTTTTTGCTTTAGTAAAGTATCACTTGCCCCCATTATACTCTACTAAGTGGACGTCATTTTTAACCTTAATAAACAGCTGCAGTAAATTAATAAGTGCATATCAGGCAGCGTCAGTGACTGTGTTTCTGAGTATTATTATTATAATTAATAATAAATTCACTTCGTTACATTTACATTGTTGGTTTAACTGATGGCTTCACGAGGTAAACATTTAGTGAGTTTGTGTATTGATCAACGAGAAAAGTTGAAAACGGCTACGGTGACAAGTACTTCAAAAGCTAATACCGCCTCCAACAACGCAAACCTTCATCAAGGCAACTCCAACGATCCTCGTAATGATTTTAATCTATCTGAAGCTAAAGATACGGAAACTGATCATTTATTAGGCGATAGTGATTTGTGTGTTTCTGCGCCTACCACCAGTGCAGCAGCAGTTATACCTGATGGCATATATATAATTAACGATAACGGATATTTGGATCCAGTTATTGACTATATTGAGACTGAAATAGATGTTGATGGTATTCAGATAGATGGTCTTCAGTTACCTTTCGATGAAATACGTACAATTAATCAACCTTGCATTTCTTCAGCTGAGGATAACCAAAATTTCAACAATGGTATGTATCAGTATTAATGTTAGTCCGAGTGTTAATCCAATTGAATTAGGAGCAGAAACTGAAGTTACATCAGATAATCCTACTGTAAATAAGGTTGTTCCTGAAACCCCTAGTGATCCAATACCGGAAGCTCAATTAGAAATTGATTGTGGACTTACCAAGACTGGAAACCCAAGAAAGAGAAAGAAATATTTGTTGTCGCGAACCGAAAGGAATACAATTAAGAAAAGAAAAGCAATGGAGGGGCACAATGTAAAACAATCATGTCCAGTTACCTGCAAAGTCAAATGCTCTTCAATTATAACTCCTGAACGACGAAAAGAGATTAATAAACAGTATTGGTGTCTTCCTACAACACAGGAAAAGAAAACATTTGTTCTGAGTTCCGTAAGCAAAAAGCCGGTAACCAGACGAACAACATGCAGTCCAAACTCAAGGCGTTCTTTTACCAATGAGTATTTTCTAAAAAATGCGGATGGTACCTCACTACGCGTGTGCAAGACGTTTTTCTTAGCTACATTAGGCTATGAAAAAAATAATGACAAAATCTTGCAGAGCCTTTCTAAGCAAACGACCAACATTTCATCCAGTCATGATAAAAGGAAAGGGCGCATTCCAGCAAACAAAGTTGATCATGAGGTTATTGTAAAACACATCGAATCTTTTGAACCCTCAATTTCTCACTACAGGCGTGAGCATGCGCCTAACCGTAGGTATTTACCAAGCGACTTAACCATTACAAAAATGCACGAAGATTTTGTAAAAAAGCATCAAAATTTTAAATGTTCTTATGATCTGTATAGAAGTGAGGTATCAAAGTTAAACATCTCGTTTGTGAAACTTGGTCATGAACAATGCGAACTATGTGAACATTTTAACCTACATGAGCACAACAAAGAAAACGTACAAATTGAGAACTGTGAAACTTGCAAAATCTACGATTCTCACATTAAGAATGCTGGTGCTGCAAGACAAGACTACAAGAATGACTCCGCTAAGGTATCAAATGAAGATGAAATTATTTACTCTGTCGATATGCAAAAAGTCATAATGCTACCAAGATGTGACATGTTCAAAAATGTCATTTTTACCACAAGGCTAACTGTATATAATGAATGTTTTGTTCCTGTTGGGACCAAATCGAAACGTCCAACGGTGGCATGTGTATGGCACGATGCAATTCGGGGAAGGAATAAAGAAGAGCTAATTAGCACTGCATACAAATTTTTTTTAACTGAAGGACGTGATGTTAAAACCATAATTCTGTGGATGGACAATTGTTCCTCGCAGAACAAAAACTGGGCATTTCTTACACATCTTGTTTTTTGTGTCAACTCAACTGAAATATCTGCTGATACAATCCACATAAAATACTTTGAAACAGGACACAGTTTTATGTCGGCGGATTCGTTTCACCATAGGGTAGAAAAATCATTACAACAATTCAAGAAAGTGTATGACTTCGAGGATTTTAAAAAATGTGTTCAAAGTGCCTCTTCAAAAGTTGCAGTAGCTGAGATGAAACCAAGCGACTTTTTTCAATGGGTAGACTGCAGCATTAAA